CTTCCTCCCAGTTATTATATTGGTGGTTGCTAAGGTCTCCTGTTAGTGTACAATTTCTTTAAAAGGGTGCATCCTTGGACTGAAATGCATACATTCCCAACACCAGCTTTTTGCTTCCCAAATCTTAAGGACACAGCAGAGTTGGGACCCTGGCATGGATGAAGCTTCTTCCTTGCCCTTCATTCTACCCCCCCCCAAAAAAAAACCAAGATTAAGACTTTAACTTGGTGCACTAGGAATGCTAGTTCTGGACACCAGATTTACAACCAAGAGAGGCTCAATCTGGAAAAAAGCAGAAGGCAAGAAGTAAGAGAGGATGGGTGATTCAGAGAAGAGGAAGAGAGGAAAGGCCCATTGGATCAACTGCCAGTCTGACAGCCAGTTAGCAGAGTGAACTTGAGAGCATGCACAAGTTTTTTTTTTTTTCATTTTCCATTAACTGTTTTTAATATCTGTCCATCTGAATGCAAATGTCAAACCATTCATCACACATTAAAACAGCCCAAATGACTGGCTCCTTACGTGTAATTTCTGCTCGTAAAGCTGATGGGTTTTTAAGGACTTTGGACTCTGCTCCTGATCCAGTGCTTTCAGGTTCCAGCTCCCGGTAATAAATACGATATCCCAAAAGGAGACCATTCAGACTTTCTACCTTTGGAGGCTGCAAAAAATGCCCATTAAAAAAAGGTTAAGTTGCAACTTGTGCCTGATATTTCACTAAAAAAAACACTGACAAAAACAGACATATATATTTCCAAACAGTGGTGATATATCTAGGTGTTGGTCCAAAAATATTTTGGTGTATCACATGATCAAAACTTGCACTCGGAATATCTTGCAAAGTTGAGACGCCATGGGAGAGATTATCCATCCACCTGGGCCAGACAAGCATCTCTAGCAATCCTCGGAGTCAAGAGACAAGCTGAGATGTATAGCCCAGGATCCATGGGGAGGATGCCGAGATATAAACTGCAACAGCAATCTTGATGAGTTCTTTGGGATACTTTCAGAGAACTCTCCTTGGCCTAACAACTTTCACCCAATGGTGTCATGGTGGTGCTAAAAGGCAGAAGAAACAAGGTCAGTCCATCTGGAATGTAAGTTTCCCCAAGGAAGAGCAGCAGTCTCTTCTCTTCTGACTATCTTCTGAAATTGTCCTCATGAATTAGAAATCTAACAAGTCTAGAAAGATTGAGAAGAATCCACAAAGGCCATTTCCTCTGGCTGGTGTGGGTCTTCTGGGCTGTGTGGCCGTGTTCTGGAAGTTTTGTTTCCTAAC